GGGGGGGGGGGTTGGTTTGAATCACCTCATTGCAATTTATTTAATTGCAGCTGTCAAAAATAATCACAGAGGACATTTTCAAGCTGACCCTCATATTCTTTTTTTCAAACATTTTCTTGTTGTTTGTTGTCATGCTGGATTTTAATTCCTCTTTAAATAAATAACAAATTATGGGTTGTTTATTTCTGTTTATGTTTAGTCTAAGATTATTCTACTTCATAAAACATATTTTATTCAGAGTACAAAGACAAAGTTTATTTCAGGTAAAAATATATTTCAAGGATAGATTTAAAATGATATGAACATTCTTTAAGAACAGTTCTGGTGAAGGAAAAACACCACTGTTTTATTTTAATATAGAGTACTGCCATATTTTCAAAGAAAATTAAACTTTAGCAGTCTGATAAAAGTGCTTAGAAAGTTTTTTTGTAAGATAGAATAGTAGGTGAGGTTACAAAAATATCAAAAAACATTCTTGCTTAAAAATGCTAACATGCTTACCTGTATGACAAAAGCACTGTGCCGTTATGCAATAAAGCCTTTGCACTGCAGTGCATGGTCTAAGAAACAGAATTTTTTTTAGCATTTTCAGCATCATTCCCTCCTCTTCCCCACCTTGCTTGCTGTCCCCCAGTTGTAGTTCTGGCAGCTGGTATTTTTAACTGCAGCCAACCTGTGTATTTGGCCTTTTTTCGAAATTCCCCCTTTGTTGGCATAGCTTTGTAACATTCTCTCCACATTCTCACTCAGCCGGAGAGAGGAGTTAGCGATCGGTTCAAGGTAAATAACTCGCACGAATTAAGAAAATAATACATGTGTGGTGTCTGTAATGAGGAGAGAATGAGGTCCAGGGAGAGAAAGTAGAAATTAGTGTCTAAAAGAAATGTGTGACTTTAGTCATGTAGGTGAAAGTTTTTGTGATTGATATCGTAGAAGCGTATTTTTTTATTCACTCATTGTTTTGCAAACATATTACATTTCTGATAATATTTAACTAAAAAAGCTTTGAATTTAAGGTTGAATTTAAACATGTCCTGAATTTATCATAATTTTCTGTCCGTTTGTGGATTCATCTGGTCATCAGGTGATCAGGAAGGGCTGGCTGACAATCAACAACATCGGCATCATGAAGGGGGGAGCCAAAGAGTACTGGTTCGTCCTCACGGCCGAGTCCCTGTCCTGGTACAAGGATGATGAGGTGAGTTTTCTCAGAAAAATGGAACAGAGGAGTTTTTTTATATAACTGACTCAGAAAAGCCAGACTTGGACGCCTTATTCTGACTCACCTTAGGCACAAGAAATGAAGCTGTTTAATTGGTGTCACCAAAAGGCCGCCTCGCCTCCCTGATCTCACTAAAGCAACATAGGTTCAACTATTTAGAGCAGCTGCAGTTCATAAATGTGTTCACTTAGAAAACATGGAGAAACATGAACATATAGAAAGTGGCAGAAAGCTATCAAGAGTTAAGACATTTAATAGAGAAATAGAAATAAAAGGGAAACACTGTTGCCATCAATAAAACCCATGGTCCATGCAACAGTTGAAAACGAAGTCCAAAACGTATTTAAAATGGTAAACTCTGATTGGTCACACCGTCTTTACTTAACAAGTAAATAAAAAGACTCAGGCACTTGAAATATGGGGCAGATTTATACATTTATATTGCACCCAGAGGTCCAAAAATGTCTGTCAAGTCGTGGCACTCAATTAAACATTTATTGGAGTTAATTACAGAGTCTATGATTAATTAATCCCATTTTAATTGAAATCCATACATCAACAAACAGCTTTTTCATAAAAAAAACCTTCTTGCTCCTAAATATTGAATAAATAAACATATGAGCAAAGCAACACATATAGTTAGTATTTTTAATTCATTATTTATGTTATTCAACCATTAATTGGTTGGAAATTATAATCATTAGCTTTGTTTAAAAACCTGAATATTTTATGCAACTTATTTGAAAAAATACTAATTTAGAAGTTTGAAAAGTATTAATCAAAGGACAATATCCTCCAATGAATATGGTAAAAATACTTATGGAAACAAAACATACAATATTGCTTTTCAGATTTGAACATTTTCCAAAAAACATGTCACCTTTAGAAAGTCTGATTTCTAATACTAACAACAGAACGATGACAGTAGAGCTGCGTATAAAGCATTACATGTTAGAGTTAAACAATTGCTATTGAACATGCAACATTTGGTGCAATTAAAGTATATATAACAATGAGGCAGCTTTTATTCTTTTGACCAGTTACTAAAAGAAAAAAATATGTTGCAGTCCCCTTTCCCAGGCTGTTGTTTTGCTTTTTAAATGTGGACTTACCTACTGTATGTCGGATGTGAAGCTCATCTTCTGGTCCCATGTGGGCTGGTGGAGAATTTGTGACATAACTGGACACTGATGTTAGTGTTGCAAACATGCCACATGTGCATCATATTCATGCCGTGTAAGAAGAGAATACAAAGGTTCCCACTCAGGAATTTAGCATGTATGAAAAAATTTGACTTTTTGATGTGCTAAAGTCTATATAATTCCCTATATAAGTCCTGGTCCTTAAATTAATGTCTGTCCTTCAAACAGTGCAGGTAAGTGTCAGGAAAGATCCTGTGAAAGGGAGAGGCATAGGAGCTAGGAAAAGGAGCTAGGAGCTACAATTTTCAGGTATGTGGTTTGAACCAAAATTTGGTCCTAACCAGGCGAAGTTAAAGGGTCCATCGCCATGATAACGAAGTCAGACTCAGAATGAGCAAGCCAGTTTTACAGTTTACAGTTTTTTTCACTTGTTTAAACACAAAAAAGTACTTGAGGCACACTGACCCCTACATGTAACTCGTGCACCAACCCCTTGAACCACTTCTGCTGAACCATAAACACATTTATTGCTCTGTTCCCTAGATGTAGTTCTAAAGCACACTTTGAACACAACTCATCACATAGACAAACACATGTCACAAATTACACATTTAGCAATCAGATTTTGAGCAGTAAAACAATTGAGACCTTCTGTTTTGGTGCAATGGAGGCCAACACGAGTTTGTTTGGTTTTGCTGTTACCACATGTAAAGTTCAGTTTGTTTGTTTTTTGTATCTGTGGTGTCATGTTTAGCTTTGTGATGGTTAGATGTAATTTTTGGAACTGAACTGTTTATAAGATATACTGTCTTTGTGTCTTCTGACTTTGTGAGTATATTACAAATGATTGTAAAAAAAAAAAAAAAAAAAAAGCACATTTCATAATGTATGCAGCAGGTGTAGCGCTGAAGATAGAAAAGTCTTGATTCATCATAGTGTTTTAGACTGAGCTCATCTGTGTTCAAATGTTTTCTGTGCATAAATGCATGGGACAGGAGATTTTGCAATGAAAGTTGATTAACTTCCATGGGAATTCTGAGCCAATTCTCTCATGGCATGTTTGTTAGACTTTACACGGTGTAAATTTAAAAAATTAAAAATCTAAAGCTTATATTTTCTCTTTATTCATGGCCAATGTCATTTTTCATAATGCTGCTATATTTTGTTTAATTTTGTTTCTTTTCTATGCCCCTAATGCCTTACAAGTCAGGCCACTAATGCTTTATCAAGTCTTATAAAGGGCCAGTTGCATCTTTATAGATAAAACCTTCTATTTCATTTAGATCACACCACTCTGGTGGTATAAAAGTACTCCCATTTATTTAGCAGTTTTAGCCACTTTGTAAATTATATTTTTTCCCAGCGTTTCTTTTTTAAAATAAAAAATAAAATGCTGGATATTTTTATGTTATGACCTAAAAAGTTGTTGTGGGAGCTCTGGATTAGGCCCGTAGGCTGTTTGATGTATACTCTGTGTATTTAAATAAATGTTAAAGCTGTGGGCGTGCTTCGGTGACGCAGTGCTTAGTGTGCATGACCCAGGTACGGAGGCCTTAGTCCTTGACATGGTCGACACGTGTTCGAATCCGACCTGTGGTCCTTTGCTGTATGTCTCTTCCCCTCTCTTGTACCCCCTTTTCTGTTAGTCCAATGTTGAAAAAAAGCGAGCCGATGGCCTTAAATTTAACTGTTACTTTTCAGTTAACCTTTTTTATTTGTATTGTTTATGAGTTATCTAATGCTGATCTGACAGCTAAATTACAAAATTCAATAAATAATAATAAAATTCAATTTAATTCAAAAATATTTTATTAATCCCATAGAGAAATGAAATATTTGAAAAAATCAGGATACAGCAGATAAGATGATTCAACTTGTATCATGTCTGATAACCTGAAGTGTATGAAGCGCTCCAAGAAAAATATAAAGCTTCATCCCTTTTTGACACTGAAAATGAGAATTGAGCATTTAGATTTATGTTTGTACAAGTATACAATACAAGCAGTCATTGTTTTTTTTGTTTTCCATTTTGCTTTCTGTTATGTGTCACTAATGAAAATTTGCAAAATCAAAGACCAGAATTTCACATTTAGGTCTTTAAGGTCCGTTTTCCTGCACCTTTTTTAAAGTGTCTAATGCTTCAGCCCACCGGAGTCAAATAATCAAGGACCTGACTGTGTGCTAACGAGGCAATTCAACCATTGCATACAGGTGTGTATGCAGAGACACACCTAAAAGGTGCAAGAAATTGGACCTTTGGGTCTGAAATTGAGGAACCCTGCTATAGAGTTTTAAACAACATGGCAGAGATGTGCTTCTGTAATCTTTATGAGTTATAAGTATGTTTAATTGAGAAAACAGTAACCATTTCATTTGGATGTGATGGTTAATTGTTGAGCATCTGAGCTCTATGGTCTGTTCTCTTTAGATTTATTGGATCTGCTTTGTTAGTTAATGGTCAAAGGGGTGTTTACTGATGGACCCCATGAGTTTAACATTATTACCACATAGCATTTGTCTCCAGGGCTTAGACACAGCCAATGTGAGATGGTTCAAGAAGCCCCGTTTCTAGAGTGCAGACCCCCCAGCCTGTCAGACACCAAAGCTGGCACACACATGTGCATACCAGAGCCCCCTGCACCCTTCTCAATCACACACACAAAGTCACACTCAAGCTGCTTCTAATAAACATTTCAAAGAGCGGGCAGTGCACTAGAAGAGAGCGCTGCAGCCAGGAGTGCCTCTCGTTAGCTGGATAAGCTGCAGGAGTAACAAAGTCCACGTGAAAGCAGGGAAAGTGCTCTGACTAAAGGAGAAGAAACCGAGGATGGTCTCTTTTCTTTTTTATGATTTTTAATGTATTTGATATTTTTATTTGTGAAAACAAAGAAAATTTAATATTTTGGCAAGATAAGTGGAAAAATATTTATACACAGAAGTTTAAAATGATGCGATGTGCATTTATACTTGGCCAATACTTTGCTGAATAATACCAATGGCAACTGCATGTCTTTAAGGAAATGTCAGCACTAGCTTTAAACAACTTCCTCATTGATTTCTCCTACCTTTTGCATTCATAGATAAGTTTTCTTCTAGAAATGTCTCATCTTTTGCTTCCCATCAACCATAAGCACGCATTCCTGACCCAGTCGGGGAAGAAATAAAATGCCCACAGCATGATGCTGCCACTACTGTGGAAATAATCCGTTCAGGCTGACATACAGTTTCCTTGTTGGCAGAATAGTTACATTTTTGTCTCATTTAATTAGAGACCCTTCTCTGTTTCTACATAATTTGTAACAAATGTTAAATTGGTCCCCCTACTTAAAAAATAGCTTGGTCTTCTCCCTCTTCCGTTTTGGTGAAATTCGGAGGAACTTGATTCAAATGAGAGGCTATGCTTTGCAGAATTTCTTCTGTGAAAAATAGTTAATTTAAGTTTTTTGTTACAGTGTAAAAAGTCAGAAAAGTTCTTTCTTTCTTTCTTTCTTTCTTTCTTTCTTTCTTTCTTTCTTTCTTTCTTTCTTTCTTTCTTTCTTTCTTTCTTTCTTTCTTT